TGGGTCAAGTCACTCCCAACACCTTTTTATTCCGGAAACCTTTCCCCACTCCTGGTTTTTACCTTGTGTGTTTACCAGTTATCCTAGTCATGCCTCTGGGTCTGTCAGGGTAGGGACTCAAGTGGCAGCCAGTGGATCCAACTGTATATCCTAGAAGATTTCCGCACCCTAGACTAAATGAAGATAGCCAGACAGGCACATGCCTTGGAGAGCCTGTTATAATTGACTAGAGGCCTGGTCCGCGAATTCGTGCATGGGTGGGGTTCCTCGACCTGGGCCGATTGGGGCCAATTGGGGCCATTTTCCCCAGTCCCAGTTGGGGCCAATCAAGGCTGGCCGTCCAGGGGGAAGTACCATGGTAGGTTGGCTGGCTGCAGGAGGTTGGCTGTGGGAACACACTGACCACCAGGGGGCAGCTCCTGCATTGAGCATCTGCCCCCTGATGGTCAGTGCACATCACAGTGACCTGTCGACCAGTCGTTCGGTCAACCAGTCATAACAGTTGCTTAGGCTTTATATATATAGACTAGAGGCCCAGTGCACGAAATCGTGCACACATAACTCGCCGCCACTTGCCGCCACTCACCGCCCTGCCCACCGCCGCAAGCCATGAGTCGCCCTGCCCACCGCCATGAGCTGCCGCCGTGAGCCACCGCTCATGGGCTGGGGGTTTGGGGGGGACTGAGAGGTAGTCAATGCTCCTCATGGCGACTGGTCAAGTAGTCATTCTGGTCGTTCCGCTTATGTTCCCTGACCTTTTATTATATAGGATGTTGGATTCCTGTGGCAGCATCCACAGACACAGCATAAAGAAATGGCAACCAGCCCAACTGGAGTGTCATCATCCTGGGCACCAAAAGGTTGCAGTTCAGTCCCCAGTCGCGGCACGTACTGAAGGCAACCAATCAATGTTTCTCTCTCTATCCCCACTCCCTCCTTTCCACTCTCTCTAAAAAGCAATGAGAAAAATGTCCTCGGGTGAGGATAAACAAAAAAACCCTACATCTTGATAAGTAGACTAAGTGGACTAATTTAAAACTCTGAGGAAGAGAGAGAGAGAGAGAGAGAGAGAGAGAGAGAGAGAGAGAGAGAAACATTGATATGAGAGAGACACATGGATTGGTTGCCTCTCAAACCTGCAACCCAGGTAGGTGCCCTTGACTAAGAATCAAACCCAAGACTCTCTGGTGTGTGGGCCAACACTCTAACCACTGAGCCACCAGCCAGAGCTCAAGATGTAGATTTGATAAAGCTTCATGGAGAAGCTAAACTTGTCTCTAAGTTTGGATGTTTTATAATACAATTGTTTAAATAAAGAAAGACTATGAAAATCACAGGCATGGTTGCAAAAATCCCCCAAACTCAAAGATGTTCTGAAAGGAAAAGTTAATGAAAGCCCCAGAATGTAGAACAAAGAGGAGGGATGAGAAAACAGGACAGAGGCAGAGTGGGGGGGGGGGGGGGATGGCATAGGGGGATAAATGGTGATGGGGAAAATTAAATTAAAAAAGAAAAGCCCTGGCTGGTGTGCCTCAGGTGGTCGGAGCATCATCTGGTGGGTTCAGTTCCCAGTCGGGGCGCATGCGGAAGGCAGCCGACATATGTGTCTCTTTCACATCGATGTTTCTCCCCCTTCTTCCTCTCTCTAAAATCAATTTTAAAGAAAAACAGGAGAGAAAAGTCTAGAGGTGAAGGATCAGTGCAGGGCCGTGTTCCAGACGAGGAAGTGTTCCAGGAGTGACAGGGAAATGGAGGGGAGGCAATGCATCCCACCCACAGTGAGGGGTCGCCAGGCACACCCTCACTCTGACACCAACTGTGCCCGGCCAGCTCAGCCAAAGGTTTGGGGAGCCTTTGTAGAAAAGACAGACAAAGAGAATAAGCTGGGTCTAGGTGGATCTCCTGTGCCTGGCTGAGGCCACAGAGAGAGAGCCAGAGGGCAAGCTGAGCCTTTCTGTTATAGCCAGAAGCAAGCAAGGTAGTGGTCACCATAGTTACAGTGAGTTTCCCACAACCCATTAGCTATCCAGATAAGATCAATAAGGTCAAGCCTAATTATGCTAAGAGGGCTGTGCCCTCTAAGCTGGGAATTGTTTGTGGCTTTGCCAACAGGTCAATCTGAGGCTTAACCCTATAGCCCAGCGGTTCTCAACCTGTGGGTCGCGACCCCTTTGGGGGTGGAATGACCCTTTCACAGGGGTCGCCTAAGACCATCGGAAAACACAGATATAATTACATACTGTTTTTGTGAGTAATCACTATGCTTTAATTATGTTCAATTTGTAACAATGAAAATACATCCTGCCTATCAGATATTTACATTACGATTCATAACAGTAGCAAAATTACAGTTATGAAGTAGCAACGAAAATAATTTTTATGTTTGGGGATCACTACAATATGAGGAACTGTATTAAAGGGTCGCGGCATTAGGAAGGTTGAGAACCACTGCTATAGCCACTCCCTACAACCAACCGCAAGTTCAGGGAGCCCAAACAACCTCCAATTTCAATAATTTGGTGGAAAGACTCACTGATTATTACACCCCCCGTTACAGTTTATTAGAGAGAGGATGCATGTTAAAATCAGCCTCGGGAAGAGGTACGTGGGGCAGAATCCAGGAGAGCTCCCGTGGTCCCAGTGGGATCGGGGACAGCACTAACTTCTCCCAGCAACAATGAGTGACAACCAGGGAAGCTCGCCCAGGCCATGTTCTCCAGGGGCTTTAAGGGGGGTGGGTCTCAGAGACCAGGTTTCCGAACTGTGTGGCCCACCTTAGTGTCAGCTGCTTGGCTCCAGGGGGTGAGCTGATACCACGGGGCCCAAAGCCCTCCCAGTAAATGAAGAGCTGGAGTCCACTCTCAGGCACGGCCCAGGCCCCAAGTAAACAGACACTCCTATCAGGCAGGACATTCCAAGGACTTAAAGACTTCCTCTCCGGACGGGACAGAAGGGCGAAGGCCAGAGCTCCAGCTGCAGGGTAGGGTTAATCCTTTACTGCGCAGACAAGAAACATTCCCAGGACTAAAGAGAAAAACAAGCTTAGGATAGAAAAGTATAAAAGAATGGAACAGGAGAAACTCATCCATAAACCCATCCTGGTGCAGTCAGTGCTACAGGGTGACAGAAAGTCCCTCCGCCGGCACAAGTGATGGAACCAGGCCCCAAACGGCTGAGGAATTTTGCACGGGTAATTCTGGGCCTAGAAACTGTCATCTAGTCTAGTGTGAAAGTAGGCAAAGAACAGTAAACACTTATTATGACTCAGAAAGGTATCTATAATAAAAGTGTAATATGCTAATTAGACCAGATGTCATTCCGGACATCCTTCCTGCCATCCGGGTCCCGGGTGGCAACCTGGGGGAAGCCAGCCCAGGTCCCAGGTGCAGGAGGGAAGCCGGTGCTGGCAGCCGGGGAAAGGAAGGCCTACTCTTGCATGAATTTTGTGCACCAGGCCTCTAGTGTAAATATAATAGCACAGCAGACAGACCACAGGAGATGGAGGGCAGGGGAGAGTAGAGAGTGGAAGGAGCAGTTAATGTGCCTACAAGTGCGCCTCAGGAAGTTAAGGCAATAGGCATGTTATTTAGAACCACAAAGGCTACCAATTAATAGTAACAGACAGCCCTAACCGGTTTGGCTCAGTGGATAGAGCGTCTGCCTGGGGACTCAAGGGTCCCAGGTTCGATTCCGGTCAAGAGCATGTACCTTGGTTGCGGGCACATCCCCAGTAGGGAGTGTGCAGGAGGCAGCTGATTGATGTTTCTAACTCTCTATCCCTCTCCCTTCCTCTCTGTAAAAAAATCAATAAAATATATATTAAAAAAATAGTAACAGACAAAATAAAAATCGCTTGCAAAACTTGGGAGAGGAAAGGACACAGAATGTGCTAAATTCACACAAGTGGGGGTAGCAGTGGAAAGTCAAGTCATAATGTTTTTAAATATTTTATTGATTTTGAGAGAGAGAGGGAGAGAAACATTGATGTGAAAGTGACACATCAATAGGCTGCCTCCTGCACCCCCCCACCCCCCTCCACCGCGGATTGAGCCTGAAACCCGGTCATGTGCCCTGACAGGGAACCCAACTGGGGGGGGCCTCCTGGTGCATGGGACAACGCTCAACCAACTGAGCCACACCGGCCAGGGCTCAAGTCATAAAATTTTTAAAAATCCAATTGAGTAAATCAAGAGTTAGAGGTATAAGCTTGTGATTTGGCACCCTAGGGTTAAAGTGGAAGAAAAAATGCAGAAAAGATAAAAAGTGGTTCACCTTGGCGGGGTGGGACCACAGCGGGAGGCGGCCGATGGACTGCCCTGGCGACTCGCCCCTTTCTGTGCAGCCAGCCTCCGGGTGCATAGGAATGTGGCCCGATCAGATCAGCCCGGCTGCTGCGACGTTTCCAGGAATCCATCCCTTAATGAGTGCAAAGAGGCTTATCGTTTTTCCCAGCAGCCCCTGGATCAATGGATGGATATGAATATTCGTGGAGTGAGTCAGGTTTCAGCACCAACTCCTTGTTTATGTTACGTTTACGTTTATAAACGACGGCGAAGCGGATAGCCCTCACGCCCATGAGTAAGGATTAGGTAAAGGAGTCGTCGCTAGAGCAGCCTCGCCCAGCCCCGAGCTCCTTCCACAGCCCGAACCGCACAGCGAAAGGGCCAACTGTCAGCGCCTCCTGGGGAGGCCGAAAGGAGCTTGTCTGGCCCTTGGGGGGGAGGCGGGGGGCGGACCAGAGGGAGCGACGTTTACCCGGCTCTGGGCTGGGACCGCCCACTAAGAACCCCCCTCCAGGGCAGCACTTCTTTCTCGGCTACTCGCCATAACCTTCAGGACGTTTTCAAAAGATGCCCGCCCGCCAGCCCGCCCTCCCGCCGGCCGCCCCGTCCGAAGAACTAACTCAGATCCCGCGTGCTGGGCGGCGTGGTGCCCGCGGGTCTTCTTTACGGCGCTCACTCCCCAACCACAGACATTCCGGCTGCGCTTCCCCGTAGTAGCTCCGGACGGGACTTGGAGGCGAGGAGGGGCGGGGCTGGAGGGGGCGCCCCCCCCCCCCCCGAAGGTGCCTGACCCCCCTCTCGCCCGCAGTGTACCACTGGGCGGAGATGCGGGCCAAGATGCGCCTCATGGGCTTCGACGCGCAAGCAGTGAAGCCGCTGAACGAGGAGGCGGCCGCCGAGCTGGGCGCCGAGCTGCTGGGCGAGGCCACCGTCTTCGCCGTGGCGGGCGGCTGCCTGCTGCTGGAGTACTGGCGCCAGAAGTCGCAGCAGCTCCGCAAGGAGCTGCGGCAGGACGTCGCCTGGGGCGAGATGCAGGACGAGGTGGAGCAGCTGGCGCTGGCGCTGGAGGCGCTGCAGGCGCAGGTGCAGGCGGCGCCCAAGCAGAGCGCCCTGGATGAGCTGCGGGCGGAGATACAGGATCTGCGCGCCCACATGTGCACCGAGGACCCGGACGCGCCCAAGGCCGAGCCCGAGCCCGAGCCCGAGGAAGAGCCCCCGCCCGAGCCTGAGGACTAGGAGGCCGCCGGGCCCTAGTCTTGAGCGTGACTTTCCCCGATATGGCCTTCCGTCCGCCCCGTCCCTTCCTGACCCGGTCCAGCTAATACCACCGGTCCCTTTGGGGGCAGAATGGATCCTAGACCCGGGCTGATCCAACCAGGCTTTGGGTCACTTTCCCCACGAGAGGGGCCAGCAGGACACGCAGACCTGGCTAACCCTCTGTCACTCACACCGCCACTTACCCGGAGGGGGCCTCCCCATGACACCGAAACTTCGCTCCTTTGCGACCCTTGTAAGGGAAATGCAGAAATCTGTCTACCTCAGCTCTTTATGGGGGTGAGAAATAGGATGGATCTTGGAAAGCTCTGGCTCCAATAGGTCACTGCGGTGCCTGACTTTGGCCCCCACTGGCACCTCTACTGAGGGCGCCTCCTAAGTGATCATCCCAACAGCGGCACCAGCACCTTCGTCTGGGCACCGCCCGCAGGAAAGGCTGGCAGGGTCCTCCCAGCAGCTCCACCGGCTCCCCCTTCCCCTGCTCCCCGGACCTGTTCCAGCAGGACCTGCCCTTCAGGTTGGAAAAGTCGGTGCCGCCAGGGGGCTGAACAATTCTGTTTTAACCAAAGCCCCGTTCACCAGTAGTTCTGGACCCACTGCTGTCCTTACCCACCATCCTCCCGTCTGGCCTTTCACAGGGACCCACCTGTTCTCCTACTACCTGGGCAGCGGTCATGACCCCACCTTCCATCCACACCTGCTCTTCAGAACACTCAGGGGTCCCTCTCCCTTTCTGCCTTTGGACTGGCCCCCAGTCCCCCTCAACCTCCTTCATGCAAAGGCTTCCTCCGCGGGACCACTGGCCCCTCGGCCCTAAGCTCCCCGCCCCCATCCCAAGGGAATATTCCACCAGGCGGTGTAGCCTGCCTGCCAACCCAATGGACCACTGCAGGGGGTGTGCGTGAGCTCTGCGGCTTCCTATTTTTTTAGACTGTAAATGTTTTTATAATTAAAGGAGCTCCGAGGTAATGGGGGCATCTCAGTGTGTCCGAGAGCCATGGTGCATGCCGGTAAGGACACAAGGGTCATTCCAATGAGGAGAAGCTGGGAGGTTCTGACGGGAAGTGGGCAGATGGGGAACAAGGTCTACGGGCAGCAAAGGGACCTGCCCCAGGCCGGCAGTCTGTGAGGGACTGCCCCGGCTTTCTCTAGGCCCGGGAATTGGTTTGGCTAAGGGAGGGGGGGGAGGGAGAAGAAAGGAATGAGGAAGCTGCCTTGGTAAGGAGCAGGGGGAGGGAGGGAGGGAGGGAGGGAGGGAGGGAGGGAGGGAGGGAGGTCTGTGGAGAGGTCAGAGCCCGCAGAGCCCACCCTGGCTGAAGGAGCCCGAGGGAACTGGAACAGGTGCAGGGCGGTTAGAAGGATGAAGAGGAGCAGGTGGGTTGCTGGGGACGGGGGACAGCACCCCCCTCCCGTCCTCATCAGAGCAGCCCTTCCAATCACTCCAGAAATCTTAGCATTTATAAAAACTGGCAGATTTATTCCGCGGGGGCCCATTTTCAAGAAGCTGAAGGTGAAGGTGGGAGAGGGGAGGAAAGCTTTCCTCCCCTTTTCCTTTCTCCCTCATCTTATTTTCCCTAAGGGGGTAAAAATGGCCTGGACCCCAAAACCTACCCAAATAAAAAACCAAAAAACTGAGGTTCCAAAAAGTTACAGCATCTTAATTCCTCATAGAAAAGGGGAAGGAGCCGGAGGGAAAGGATGTTCCCTGGGGTGAGGGGAGATGCCCCCAGCCTGGTGGGACACCGCCCCCCTTAAATAGCTGCCCCGAATCCGACAAGCCCGGGGCTAAAGCATTTAAAAACTCCCCATTTTATCAAAACCAAAGAGAAAAAAATTTCCCTTCCCCCCAAAACCTAAATATATATATATATATTTATAATTTTTTTCCTTAAAAAAACAAAAATTTGAAGGCATTAAGCGATAAAGTGAAATCTAGAACAAGGGAATGTGCCGTTCCCTCCTTCCTCCCCCTGTGGGGTTCACTGGTACATCCCCCGCAGAGGACCTGCCCCAAGGGGATGGCCGAGGGGAAGGACCAAAGGGAGCAGAGGGTGGGGGCCTCCCCAGCCAATCAGCAGCCAGTATAGGAGTGGGCATGGCAGAAGCCACACCCCCTTGGAATTTTCCAAGTGGGATGAGGAGGGGGGAGGACGCGTTCCTGTGTAGTCTTCAGCCAATTCCAAGTCAAGTCGAGGCAGGGAAAGCAGGGTGACAGGCAAGGTGTGCGGAAAGGAGAAACGGGGTCTTCTGGGGCCCTGTGGTCAGGGGGAACCCCTCTTCCTCAGCTCCTGGACAAAGGCTGGAAGGAAACAAAGGTCAGAGGTCAGGGCAGAGTCTCTTCCCCCTTCCCTTCCAAAACAGGGCTCTTTCCCAGGGACAGGATCCCTCCAAAACCCCCTCACCTTCAATTATTTCTTCTTTCACTTTCTGCAATTCCTTCCTCACCTCTTCCAGAAATTCCTGAAAGCAATGGGGTGCAACCAATCAGGAAGAGTGCCTGGACTTGCAGACACTCATCTCTCCTTTCTTTCATTCATTTATTTATTTTTATTTTATTTTATTTTTTTAAATATTTTTTATTGATTTCAGAGAGGAAGGGAAAGGGAGATAGATAGAAACATCAATGATGAGAGAGAATCATTGATCGCTGCCTCCTGCACGCCCCCTGCTGGGGATCGAGCCTGCAATCTGGGCATGTGCCTTTGACTGGAATCGAACCTGAGATCCTTCAGTCCACAGGCCGACGCTCTATCCACTGAGCCAAACGAGGTAGGGCTATTTAATTTTATTTTTATTGACTTCAGAGAGGGAGAGAGAGAAACATCAATGATGAGAGAGAATCATTGATCTTGACCAGCTGCCTCCTCACGCCCCCTACTGGGGATCGAGCCTGCAACCAGGGCATATGCCCCTGACCACAATCAAACCCGGAACCCTTCAGTTCTCAGGCCAATGCTTTATCCACTGAGCCAAACCAGCTAGGGCTAATTTCTCCTTTCTTAATGACTGAAGCGCCACACACACAACATGACCTCACTGACAAAGCCGCAGAGGGACTGGAGAATTCTGGAGATTTCTGGATCCTCTGAGCCAGAAGAAAGGCACTGGAGAACATCCAGTACCAGGGATGGCAAATACATTCTATTCTCTGCCAACTCCAGTGGGTAATGGGCGTCTGGGGCCAGTGTGCTGAAAAGGACTCTGGGTACTCCTCGGGAAAGCGTGCGGTGATAGATTAGTGAGTGTCTCCGAGGCCCTTTCTAGAATCACATGGCAAGTCAGTGGCAGAATTTAGACCAGTGATGGCGAACCTTTTGAGCTCGGCGTGTCAGCATTTTGAAAAACCCTAACTTAACTCTGGTGCCGTGTCACATGTAGAAATTTTTTGATATTTGCAACCATAGTAAAACAAAGACATATTTTTGATATTCATTTTATATATTTAAATGCCATTTAACAAAGAAAAATCAACCAAAAAAATGAGTTCGCGTGTCACCTCTGACACGCGTGTCATAGGTTCGCCATCACTGATGTAGACCCAGATCTCTCTTCTTCCTGTGGCCCCTTTCATAGCCCCCGAACCTCGCCCCTAGTCCCCTGGCCAAGCTACCTGTTTCACCCTCTCCAGGTCTGACTCATCGCCGGAGCTGGGTGTAGCGGGGTGGGCCTCGGAAGTGGTCACTGAAGACGACGACTTCATCCTGGGAGAGATGGTGTGGATTGGGACAGACATGAGGTTAGAGAGAGCCTGCCGCCCATTCCACAAGCATGGCGTTCCTCCCTACAGATTCGGCAAATCCACCTACTTGGGGCAGGTGGGGCCCCAGTACTGACGACCCACCTTGGCAAGGTTGTGCTGTTCTTCTCCCAGGGTCTCCGCACAGGTTCTGGGGGACAGGCAACAAATCAGAAAGATAAAGGAAGAGGAATGCCCACCCCCCACCCCCCCCATCCTCCCACAGCCTCATCAGCCCCTGTGCAAAGAACCATCTCAGGAGACTACAGTCCCCAGTACTGTTTGCACAGACTCTTTCAAGAATGTGCTTTATGTTTGAGGACAAAGCATCCTGGGATTTGTAGTTCCTGTGGCTAGACTGGGCTATCACTCACCGCTTTGGGCTGGGACTCTGGCTTCTGGCTCCTCCTGCTGGTGGGAAATAAAACTGTCATGAGCCAGTCCCTGCCACACCTCTGTGCATTTTCCTCTTCCAGGTTCTGTCCAGCCCAGCCTTGTCACACCGCCTCCCCAATATCCCTACCCCAACGGGACAGCCTAAGGTGTATGTGGCAGGAAGAGCCCCTAACTCACATTGGCAGATTCATCCTTGGGGGGTTTCTCCCCAACTAGTGTGGCTTTCCTTCTGCAGGAGGGAAAGGCAAAAACAGATGGCTCCAGCCCTCCCTCAGCCACTCAACAAGCCCCCTTCCCAGAGCTCAGAAAGGCGGATTCTAGGGTACAGAGTTGTGGAACTTGTGAACGCTAAGAAAACTTTAATTTTAGAAGTTACAGAGAGCGCTGTTCTCGAGGTAGGGTGGGGATTTTGCGTTTTTCACATTTGGGAATCACAAAGTTCTAAGGGCCGAGGGCTCTGGAATTCTAGGAACCCAACTTTTCAGGTTCCGAGGCAGGAATGTCTAAGGGCCTAGAATTTGCAGCGGTTCTCAACCTGTGGGTTCGCGACCCCTTTGGCGGTCGAACGACCCTTTCACAGGGGTCGCCTAAGACCATCCTGCATATCAGATATTTACATTGAGATTCACAACAGTAGCAACATGACAGTGATGAAGTAGCAACGAAAATAATTTTATGGTTGGGTCACAACATGAGGAACTGTATTTAAAGGGCCAGAAGGTTGCCCTGACCGGTTTGGCTCAGTGGATAGAGCATCGGCCTGCGGACTGAAGGGTCCCAGGTTTGATTCCGGTCAGAGGCATGTGTCTTGGTTGAGGGCACATCCCCAGTGGGGAGTGTGCGGGAGGCAGCTGATCGATGTTTCTCTCTCATCGATGTTTCTGACTCTCTGTCCCTCTCCCTTCCTCTCTGTAAAAAATCAATAAAATATATATATTTTTTAAAAAGGGCCAGAAGGTTGAGAACCACTGAATCTGAGCCTACCAGGTGGTTGCAAACCCAGCCATCTCAGGAGAAGGCAATTGCAGCATTCTATCCCACACCTGGCTATCACAGAGGGAACTTTCAACCAAAGCAACAACAACACAAACACAACGGGAATCAGCCAGCCCCACACCTGGCCCTACCGGCCCCGGTGATAACCGCTGGTCTGAGGGTTTGTTCCCAGAGCCTCCCAGGCGCACGGAGGTCCGGGCTCGGGCTCACCTCCGGGCCAGCATGGCGTTCATCTCCTCCATGAGCCCGCCCCCTGTGCTTCGACTGCTCTCAGCTTTGGGGGCTGCGGGCCCCCCTGAGGCCTCCTCCTGCTGGAGAAATTACAGAGAGGGGGGCTTTATGCGCAGGCCTCCTGATGTCCCCAGGCAACTCAGGCCTCATTCCCCACTATTCCCTCAGGGCCCCGTCTCCCCACACCCTGCCATGTCTGGCCCCCTCACCTTGCTGACTTTCCTGAGTTTGGCTCCGGCAATGGCTGCAGCCAGGCCGGCGGCCCCAGTCCCTCCACCACTGGGGCCAGCTGCTGTGGGGAGAGGGGGTGGAGGGGGTGGGCCTCCCCCTGCTCCATGCCCTACAGCGGAGACCCCCGAGGGGGGCAGACCAGAGGGTGGGGGGGGACCCGGAGGCGGGGGAGGTCCTGGAGGTGGAGGCGGTCCCCCAGCTGGGGGAGCAGGGGGGGCTCCTGAAACAAACAGACAAAGGAGGGGTGCTGAGAGAGAGGCCTCCCTCCTTGTTATCCAGCTGGCCCCCCCTCCTCTGGGGAGCCCCCCTCCCCCCAGGGACCATGTGAACAATCACCTGCATTGGAGACCCGGCGCTCCAGGTGCTCTGGCTGCCTGAGGAGGGGAGGAGGGGAGGGGCTGCCGTCACTCAGGACCCTGAGACGGGCTCCTAACCCCCACCCGCTTCCTTCCCCAGGGGCCCAGGAAAGCGCGGGGGGGGGGGGGGGGGGCGACAGCAGGGACAGGGTGAGACCAAGATGCAAGCACTGTAGTCACCAGACTGTCAGCAGCTGAATTACAACATGCGCGAGATGCTTTAAAGAGCCAAGTTTGAGACTCTCGGAAGGGAGAGGGGTTTCTAAACCAGCAGGAGGCAGGAGCTCCTGAAAGCTAAGGTCTAGCTCTAGCCCCTGGGAGTTGCAGTTGGAGGTGAGAATTCTAGGCGTCAGGGGCGTGGCAGCGGTAGGATTCCCACCGGGACCCGACCCACCTTTTCTGAAGCTCCGCCTCCTCGGGGGCGGGGCCGTTCTGGACGGACCAGGAGGGCGGTGCCGCCTGTGGCTGCGCTGGCGGTGGCGGTGGCGGCGGTGCTGGAGGCCCACCTCCTGGAAAGCGAGAGTAGAACCCGGTGATGAGTCAGCCCGGAACCTGGTCCCACCTCGGGGCACTTTCTCTCCGCTGCCCAGAGGTGCTCGCTCACTTCCCGACACTCCGGCTGGTGTGGGCACCTGGGCAAGCTTCCCTTGCCTGAGCTGATTTGTGGTGGGGGCTGTGGTGATGCCCAAGTGACTGGTGGGGGACAACGACGGCCCAAAGAGGCAGTCACTTGCAGACTGGAATTTGCAGAAACAAGACAAATTCGGGATGATTCCCACATCTACTCTCTCTTTTTTTTTTAATCCTCACCCGAGGATATTTTTCCATTGATTTTCAGAGAGTGGAAGGGAGCGGGAAGAGGAGAGCGAGACAGATCGATTGGCTGCCTCCTGCACAGCTCCCAGTCCGGGGGCAGGGACTGAACCTGCAACCCAGGCACGTGCCCCTGACCAGAGTCGAACCTGTGCCCCTCGGGTGTGCAGGCTGACGTTCGAACCACTGAAACACCGGCCAGGGCTCCCACATCTACTCTTAACCAGGGGCTCAGCCACGGAGACCCCAGCCCCAGGACCCTGAAAAGGCTGAAAGCCTGCTCCTTACCACCCCCGGCCTCTGGCGTCCACGGACACAAAGTTCCACCCCCCACAGTTCTCTCTGTGCCCCGACAAGCAAGCCCTGTCACCGCAGCCGCTCCAGGAAGCAGACAGCCCTGCCCTTGGTGATCTGAAGCTCTCCAGCAGCGACCTGACCCGAGGCACAGCGGCTCCTAACGCCTCGCTGCCCAGGGGCTGCCATCGCCGGGCACTTGCTAGACACGCAGGGGCTCAGCCCCACCTCAGCCCAACTGAACTGGAATCTGCCTTTTACCCAGATGTCCAGGTTAAGAGCTACCACCTTGGTCCTGGCCGGTAGCTCAAAGCATCGTCCTGATGAACCAAGGTTCAGTCCTCAGTCAGGGCACATACAGGAATCAACCAATCGATATACAGTGGGACCTTGACTTACGAGTTTAATTCGTTCTGTGACGGAGCTTGTAACTCAAATTACTCGTATGTCAAGTCAAAAAGTGAACGAGTGAGACACGTGATGCTGGGCTGATGTGGCGTTCGCTGCGCCAACTAGCGGTGGGGTATCTGAAGCTGGCTCGTAACCCGAATTTTAGCTCGCAACTCAAAGCAAAAAATCGGCCGAGAGACGGCTCGTATCTCGAAAACTCGTTAGTCGGGACACTCGTAAGTCAAGGCCCCACTGTATATGAAAGCCTAAGCGACTGTTATGACCGAACAACAGGAACAACCGATCAACCAGCTGCTATGACATGCACTGACCACCAGGGGGCAGACGCTCAATGCAGGAGCTGCCCCCTCGCCAACCTCCTGTGGCCCCTCTCCCTCAGCTGGCTGCCCCCCCTCCCCCAATAGGCCTCGATCGCCAGCCAGGCCGAGGGACCCCATCAGTGCATGAATTCATGCACCAGGCCTCTAGTGAATACATAAATAAGTGGAACAACAAATCAGCATCTCTCTCCCCACCCCCAGCCTCTCTCACTCAAAAATGAATTAAAAAAAAAAGAACTACCACCCGGCCAGTGTGGCTCAGTGGTTGAGCATCAACCAATGAACCAGGAGGTCACGGTTCGATTCCTGGTCAGGGCACATGTCTGGTTGTAGGCTCAATCCCCAGTGGGGGGTATGCAGGAGGCAGCCCATCAATGAGTCTCTCTCATCATTGATGTTTCTATCCCTCTCTCTCCCTCTCCCTTCCTCTCTGAAGTCAATAAAAACATATTAAAATATATATAATTTATTTATGTTTTAAAGAACTACCACCTGGAGATCTTTTTAATATCGATGTCTGAAAACGAGTTGATGATGATATGAGCCAGTACAATACCCGGCAAAGGGCAGAGGGAGCCTTCCAAGAGCTGGAAAGAGCTACACCTTGATCTGGGAGGCGGTCGCCCAGGAGTGTTCATGTGAAAATTCATGGGGCAACTGCAGCCTTAGGAATCCAGAGGTACAAGGGGCACACAGGAGCCCACACAAAACCCTCAGAAAAACGGTCCACGGTAGCAATGAATCAGCCCCATTTTCAGATGAGTAAACTGAGGCCACGAGCAGTGAAGTGGCGGCCCCAGGCCACACGGCAGGGCTCAGGGGCCCCTCTGCCCACTGTTTCTGACCTTCCAACGCCTCCAGGGCACTGGCCATGCTCGCGGCGAACTGTGCGGCGTCCTCCTTGCTGCCAAAGTTGAGGCCCCAGACCTGGCGGGCGTCCCGCCACTGGTGGAAGTTGGGGGTGGCCTGGTTATACTTGAGGCCCCGGATGATGGCGCAGTTGATGACCACCTGGCAGGAGGGGAAAGGTGGGTGAGGGGGGTGCAGAGGCGGAGGGCGCAGCCCTGGGAAGGGGCGGCCGCGGGCTTCACCTGCTGGTCTGGCTGCATCTTCCGGCCGACCACCCGGAAGGAGTTGGCCGTGGGGTTGTGGTAGATCTGGACTCGGCTGAAGGTCTGGGGGCCCGTGCCCGCAGGCAGCCACCGCTTGTTGCCGTCGTCATAGAGCATCACAGTGGCCCGGCTGGAGCAGATGACCGTCTCGCTGCCGGGAAATGGGGAGAGAGGGAGTGAGGCCATTAGCTGGAAAGAGGCACCCCTCCAGGTCTGGTCACCTTCTCCATCTGGGTCCCCCTCCGATTCAGGGACAGTGTGAGAGGAAGAGAGAAAACGCGGAAAGGCAGGGGGAGACGGACCCCTGAAGACGCCCAGATGGACAGTGATTGGGAAGGAAAACAGACAGGCGGGGCTGAGCCAGACAGACAGACAGACAGACAGACTGGGGGAGACAAAGACACAAACTGGGGATGTGAGACAGACGGGGAGAAGGAGAGAGGGAGAGGAAGTCAGACAGACAGACCGAGTGGAAGGGACAAACAGGCTGACATGGAGAGAGAGCTGAGAGAGAGAGTCAGACTGACAATGGGGAGACAGACAAGGGAATGGTGAGGGGAACACATGGAAAGGGCAGAGAGGCAGAGAGAGAGAGAAGTCCGGAGTGAGAGCTGGAGGAGGGGACCCGGGAGGAGGAGGGCAGTGGGGATGGGGCAGGAACTCTGGGCGGCGGCACTGGGAATCAGCCTGGCACTCCTGGAGCCTCAGTTTCCCTATCTCTTCCAGGGTTCTCCCCGCCCCGCCCGCCCCCCCCCCCCCCCCCACACACACACACACACTCCCTGCTTCGGTAGGAGGAGGAAGCTGAGCCCAGGGAGGGGAAGGGTAGTCCTGCAGCAAGTTGGGGACCAATGCTACACCCTAACCTCTTCTTTTTCCTGCTGCCACCCCATCCATCTGCCCATCACCCCACAGTGCCCCGGGCCATCGGCAGACACTCCCTGCTCCCACAGGCCCATGTCTTGGGCAATGACCCAGACAGCCGCGGCCCCACCCTCCAGTGCAGGAGACAGTCCAGTCCCCAGACGGTGACAGCCCAGGGTGACCGGGAGCACCCTCCTGGCCTGGGCGTCACAGAGGAGTTCCGGAGCAAGTGACATCTGACTCAGCCTTGGGGGGCGGGGCGGGGTATCAAGAAACTAGTTCAGAGTTCAGGCTCTGATATCCAGAGACCTGGGTTCAAATCCCCACGGAGCCAACTGCTCCATGTGACTCAGCGAGTGACCCTCCCACTTGAGAACTGCAAACTGGGGAAATGACAGGCCCCTCACCCCCACCCCCCACGCCCAGGACAGTGGGAGGAGTAATGAGTCTGGACACGTAAAGCCACGTACTTGGCATGGACTGAGCACTTAGTAACTGTCAGCATCTCTCACATCACAGGCACCCGGAACATCTCAGGAGCACCCCCCCTACCCCGCCCCGCCCCCGCAGTCCTTCTGGGGAGGTTCAACCTCCCCTCCCCCAGCGAGGAAACTCAGGCTCCCAGACAGGAAGTGACTTGCTCAAGGTCACACACAGACCTGGGGGAAGTGCTAGTCCCTACCCCGCCCCACCCCCACCAAACTTTTTCCTGAAAAGAGGAAGTGGATGGTCAGAGGTTTCCGGGGAGAGAAATTATACCCCACAAGGGCCCTGTCTCAGCCAGACCTGGGGGCTGGGTGTGCGGCTCAGGCTGCTCAAGACGAGTCAGGGAAAACCCCTCAGCAGACCCAGCTCTGGGTTCCTAGGCCCGGGGCTGAGCGCCGGACACCCCCAAGTTTACATAAATCTGGCGTCTCCTTCCTCGGGTGTCTGCTCATCGGACATCCTAAGCCCTCTCCTCGGTCACTCACTTTATTCTCCTTCAAGATGGGCACTACTGCATCCTCAGTGCGCACGCGGGGAGCCAGTGGGGGCCCAGTGAGGCTGTGTGCTTGCTCCGGGTCACAGAGCTTGTCAGCAGCAGAATGAGGATTTGAACCCAGGCCACCTGGCAGCCAAGTCCACAGCCTCAACCGCCAGGAACTGTGTGGGCCCCAAACCAACCCAAACACCAGGTGCTGTTTCCAGACCGGTGCGGCCTCAGGGGCCATTTCTGGCTCCCACTGCCCCCTGACAGGGCAGGACGAAGGCCTCGCCCACACCTGCCACCCACCCACAGGGCCGGCTCTGGCCGGGAGCCCGGGTTGTGTTTGCTACCCCACCCTGGCTGCACTTTGCTCTCCCAAGCTGCCCTGCCCTGCCCAAGGGTTTGGCCTGGCCCGGGGGCGCCTGCTGAGCGACCCCAGGCTGGTCCTACCCCTCACCAGGCCGCAGTGTCCCCATTACAGCAGAAGGATATGTTAAAACACGTCAGATGGAGTCCCTTCCCTTCTCTGGGAGAAAAAAAGCCAAGATCTCTCTGTGGCTTCCGTGATCTGTGTGATCTCTGATCTCATCCCTTCCCTGCCCCCAGCTCGCAGTTTCAGCCCCTCTGGCCTCCAAGCTGTTCCTTCTACAGGCGCATTCCTGCCGCAGGCGAAGCACTTCTTCCTCCACCTGGATCCTCACCTCCCCCAGCCTCTTCCCCTGACTACCAGGAAAGTCTCTCCCTCTCACCGCGCGTCCCACGTCATAGCGTCCCTCCCTCCCTGACAGCCCCCATCTGTCCTACAAAAGGTCAGGACCATGAGGGCAGGGATGTGTGTCTCCAGAACCCAGAATGGTGTCCAGCACATAGGTGTTCATCAGTTGTTAAATCAGACATCGATAAAAAGGAAAACTTAGAGCAACGGCAGGTGGGCTACAGACACTGTTCTGGGTGCTGCTGAGCTGCAGTTTCCACAAAGAACCTCGCAAGGACCTCAGGAGAAGGACTCTGGTCCTTACTCTTACTACAGAGGAGGAACCATGGGCACAGAGAGGTGAAGACATTTGTCCCAGGTCACACAGCGAGTAAGCAGAGGGGCTGGCATTTGAAACCAAGTCCACCCAAGTTCTTCACCTCACTTAAAGGTGAGGAAACAGCTAAGCTAAAATTTGAAGAAGCCAAGGGCTAAAGTGGTGTGTGTCAGAGGTTTTTAAAAAAAGGTGGGGAGGAGACAAACACATCCGCACACAGGGGTGATTTTTGCAGAGGCTGCTTCTCGGGGACTAACAGTGCCTGCCTCCGAGGACGGGCACTGGGGACCTGAGGAAGGAGGAAACGGACACATCGCACTCTTCACTTTTTAAAACTGCTTGACTCTTTTTTTATTATTAGTATTAGTATTGATTTCAGATAGGAAGGGAGAGGGAGAGAAGAGAGAGAGAAACATCAGTGATGAGAGACAATCATCGATGGGCTGCCTCCTGCACGACCCCTACTGGGGATCAGGCCGCAACCTGGGCATGTGCCCTTGACCAGAATTGAACCCAGGACCCTTCAGACCGCAGGCTGACGCTCTATCCACTGAGCCAAACCGGCTAGGGCTTGATTCTTTCTTTCTCTCTTTTTTCACCACAGGCTGGTATTACCAAGAAAAAACTCATTCAGTACTTACGTTCAAAAATTAAAACTATAAGCCAGGCAAAACCTGCAGCAGAAAATCCCACAGCCAGGAAGCTGGGACTGAGGTTCGTCTCTTAGAGTCCCGCATCAGAGAGCCTTAATTCCCAGCCAACGCAGGACCCTCCCTTCCCCACAGGTCCCCACCTTCTGGAAAACTCTAGCAAGTGGTGGTGGATGGGAGAGGGCTCAAGTCAACCCGGTGCTGTGTGGCTTCACCTCTCTGAGCCTCTGTCTCCAGCCCTGGGAACCATCACTCAGTGGTTTGCTGTAACGCTTCAAAGAGATAAGAAAAACCCTAAAGCTCATGCACAGGCTCCATATAAGGAAGTGGAGGGTCAAAACAGGGGAGAGAGCCTCTCATCACTGGAGGCAATCAAGCATAGTCACTCTGGTTTACTCAAACCTTCCAGGTCAGAGGCTTGCCCCTTTTTCTACCCTAAGACGTACCCTATAGCTGCCTGACACCACACAACTTGTGATCCACACTGCCGGCACCCACACACAACCTTTCCAAACTACTACTCTTTTGAAACAACCCTGTAATAGGGAACCAGATCTCTTGTCTGTGGGGCTTGTGTAGGCTCACACCAGTCCCTCTTCCCTGACCAGTCTGTTTCCTATAAGCGAACAAGAAAGTAAAGGTTCCCACAGGGGTTTCGTTTTTCGTATCTCCATGAACTGTTCATACAGTGAAAGCATGTTACCTATGTTTGTTTTTTTTTAATTCTTTATACCTATATATTTTTAAAAGACCATTAAGCCGCCCTAACCGGTCTGGCTCAGTGGATAGAGCGTCGGCCTGCGGACTGAAGGGTCCCAGGTTCGATTCCGGTCAAGGGCATGTACCTTGGTTGTGGGCACATCCCCAGTAGGGAGTGTGCAGGAGACAGCTGATCGATGTTTCTCTCTCATTGATGTTTCTAACTCTCTATCCCTCTCCTTACCTCTCTGTAAAAAATCAATAAAATATATTAAAAAAAAAAAAAAAAAGACCATTAAGCCTCGCCAGTGTGACTCAGTGGTTGAGCATCGATCGACCTATGAACCAGGAGGTCATGGTTTGATTCCCGGTCAGGGCACATGCACGAATTTCAGGCTCGATCCCCAGTGTGGGGTGTGCAGGAAGCAGCGATCAATGATTCTCTCTCCCTCTCCCTTCCTCTCCGAAATCAATAAAAATATATATGCGGGGAAAAAAAACATTAAAGGTTTTCTTTTCCTTTTTCTTTAATAGCATAATACTCTGGAGACAGTCCTGAGTTCAAATTCAGACTTGCCTACTTCCAAACTGTTGGGCAATCTGCTTCATTTGTCCATGCCTCAGTTTCCCCATCTGTAAACTCGGAGGTGGGGCAGTCAGGACATATCTATCTCTTAGAACTGCTGTTGAAGATTACACAGAATTAGGTACCTAGTACAGCGTCTGCACAAAGTAGATCATTGATCCAATGGTCTCACAATTTTTTAAAATAAAAATAGCAAGGAACGCTATCGGAGGAGAAAGAAACGAACCCAAATTCTCCTTTAGCGTCCCTCTGCCCTGAGAGGCTCAGACTTGCGCCCGGCTTCCCCACTTTCCCAGAATCCCAGCTCAGAGTCTAAGACACATTAGACACTCAACAAATATTTGTCAAACTGGGGGAAAAAGAGCGTTTATCTTGTAATTTTCCATCTTAACATCCTCTCTTCCAACTGCCCCCCAAGACTGCCACCATCCAAACCAGCCAGAAATCAAAGGATCCTAGTCTGCTCTCTCCCTCAAGGTTGCCTCTGGCTGCATCTTGCTCGGCCCGGCTCTCCCAGAGCCTCAGTTTCCCCAGCTGGATCCAGGGGGCGTGGGTCTATTTGAATCCTAGCTGTCTTTGGAGAAGAGGCACAGCCCAGAGAGTGGGGTGTGGCCACTGACTGGGAAGACCCCCCAGGAAGTGGAAGTAATCCCCGGGTGGGACACCCCCAGCTCAGCTTCTGCCCACCCCCCAGAAGGTGGGAGGCTGGGCCTCCACCAGCAGCGGGGGCTGTGGCAGGGCCAGGGCCTCGGACTGGGCTTGGGGGTGAGGGTGGGGGTGGGAGGCCGGCCCAGACACTGCTCCTGCCCTTTTACGGTCTCAGCGAGTGAGGCAGCACTAACTCGGACATCCGCCATCCGCCTTCCACGGTGCTGGGACCGGAAACGCGGTGGGGGGGGGCGCACGGGGCGGGGCGGGGGCCAGTGGGAGAGAGGACTCCCCGGGAAGAGGGTGAGGGACGAGAGCCCCGCTCCCCGGAACTGCCCTCTGTCCAGGGCAGACCTGGAGGGATGTTGCTGTCCTGGGAGGAAGGGCAGGCAGGAAGCCTTGAGGGTATCTGGGGGTGCCGCCTGGTCCCCAATTTTCCAACCATCCCTTTCACATCAGAAGGGACAAATGCGGGAGGTGGGTTCCCCAATGGTCATAAGAAGGAACGCCACCCCGATGTCAGGGGGCGCGTGTGGAGAGTGGGGGGCGGGAGGATGTGGGCGACACGGGGTTAACACCCAGCTGTCCCCAGGGGCCTCCCCCTAACGCCGGGGTCTCTGGGGCAGGAAGTCCCTGGGAGAGTGGAGGAAGGGAGATAGTATTGTCTGACTCAGGCCACTGGGGAGACATGATGGGGCTCCAGGGGAAGCAAGAATGGGGGGGTCCGGCCCGGGCCCCCGCCCCCACGGCCCCGCCCTCAGGTGAGCCCAGGAGTTTTGAGGGAGGCCAGGGTAGGACAAAACCCCCGGGTCCCTGGCCCCCTCCGCCCCGCACACCCCCCCCAGGATTAAATTCGGGGGGAGACGGCTGGGACGATCTGGGAAGCTGGGTCCCCGGGGAGCGTGCTGTGACCTTGACGCTCCCAGGGCGCCCCCTCCTCCAACCCCGCAGTCCGGCGGCCGGAGGGGGAGGTGGGGGGAGGGGAGGCGCCGCCGGGGGGGGGGGGGGGGGGAGCGCCGGCCCCCTCCCCCACGCGCACCAGCTGTCTCGACAGGTGAGTCAGGCAGACAAAGGCCCCCTCCCCCAGCCGCCGCGCCCCCTCCGGCCCGAGCCGCGCAGGTGGGGAGCGGGCCGCCCGCCTGGCCCCGGGCCGGGGCGCCGCCCTCGGCACGCAGCTCGGTGCGCGGTCCCGCGGCGCAGGGCTCGGCGGGTTCGAGGCGGAGGCGCCGGGCGCCGGGGGATGGGCGTCCCGACCTCCTGCACCCGGCGAGCCCCTCCACCTGCGGGGCGGCTTCCGGGCCCTCGAAGTTCAGGAGCGAGTCCCGCTCGGGAAGACTTTCCCGCGGCACGTAAAGGGCAACCCCGCAAATCAGGGTGGGCGCTCCCATCTGTGCTCCAGGTGCCGGGGACCCCCACACCGGCCCGCACAAACCCTCTCGGGGCCCGAGTTGAGATTTGGGGGATCCTGAGAACTGCCTGAAGCCTGGCCCCCCGGCGGGGAGGACCTGCCAACTTGGACGGCCGCCGGAAAAAGTCTTAAAAATTCGGGAGTCCTCGGAACGCCCCCGAATCTGAGGTTCTCCCCGGAGAACCTCCCCGGCACCACCGCGGACCTTGGGAGGCGGGGGGAAGAGGTCGACATCTGGAGCTCATCCAAGGGGGCTCGGCCGCCAATCCGAGGCTCCCAGCGCCCGGTCCCCAAATTCCAGCCCGGAGCGAGTTGGGGGGAGGGGACAAAGGCGGGGCGGGGGGCCGCGCCGGCGGGGCAGGGTCTGGAGGCTTTGGAGGCTCACCTCATGGCTGCTCCGCAGGCGGGCGGCGCACCCACAGAACGGGGCGCCCCTGGCTCGAGGTTCAGGGGTTCGGGGTTGGCTCCGGGTTCTGCTCAGTCTCCCCCAGGGTCCCGCCCCATAGAGTCCGGCTTCCTGGGGAAAACGTGGACGGGGCCGGGGCGGGTCCTCGGGCGACCTCCACCCTCTGGGGGGTCTGACCGGGGTCCCCGCGACAGAAGGGGGTGCGACGTCCCCTCCGCGGCGCTCCCCGCGGCCGCCGGCGGCTACAGTGCTACTCTTACTACTGTACTTCCCTCCCGGCCGCTCTTCCCACATCCACTCCCCGTACCCACAGTTCCCTGCGCCTTAAAGGGGCCGCGAGCCAACCGAGGCGGGGTGGGTGGGGCGGAGGTCGCTTAAAAGGGCAACGCGGAACCTTACACCCCAACGGTGCTGCGCGGGGCCGCTTGCCGGGGTCACTCTCACGTGGGGGGGCCGCTCGGTGGATGGGGGGGACCCGAGTTCTCCCCACGATGGGAATCCAGGGGGATCTCAGGGGGGCACCGTGCATTCTCGCCCTTCCCATCCACTTCTCCGTTTCTTTGCACTCTGCTCACTTTGGGGAGGGGACGAGGAGGACCCTCACATTTTCCCCCTTAACTCCTCCCCTCTGGCCCCCCAACGTCTCTCTTCTCTGCCAATTTGGGGGGTGACTGAAGGCGCACCCTCTCCCCGGCACTGGCGGGGGGAAGGTGGGAAGGACTCCGCCCCTCACCGCCCCCCGCCCGGCCGGGAAGGTGAGGAGGAAGTGGGCCGAGGGGGCGCGGCCGCCGCTGACTCACAGCCGCGGGGGGTGGGGTGCGGCGGGACCGGGTGGGGGTGAGGCGCCGGTTCCAGGGGGACGAGGCCCCCAGCTCCCTCCCCACGCACGCCCCGCCGTCTCTCAGTCCCGCCCGCGGAGAAGGCGGGGGGGCACGAAGGCGGGGCGACCCTCCCCGGTCCCCGCTCCCGCGAGCCCCTTCCCCCCGCCACGCGCGGGCTGCGGGCTGAACCCCAACAACCGCCGAAGCTTCCGCAGCGGGTCCCGCCGGCCCCGCCCGCGTGACGTCACTCCTGAGGTCCCACCTCTCCTGCACGGCGCCACCTGGCCGGGTAGATGCCCCAGTCGGGGGCAGAAGCCTGGGGAATCATCAGTCTGCCGTTTACAAATGGGGAAACTGAGGCCTGGAGGCAGGGGATATATCTGGGCTATAAGCCTCTTGCCTGAACCCCCAGAGCTGGTGGTGCTTGGTGCAAAGTGTAAAACAATACTCAAGGGTCCAGATGACCAGGTGAGCCCATCAACCTTCCCAGGCTTTGTCCAAGCCACATCCCCTGCCTCGGTGCCGCCCTGACCTCACCTCATGCTTCTCGGACATGTGCTGACATCAATTCTTCTCTGCAGAATCGAGTAACTGCGCCGGCTCATCGTGGCAGCCCTTGAACCCGGGCCCACCTGGGTTAGAATTGTTTCTCTGTGTGTCTCCTCAGGCTGTAAGTTCTTTGGGAACAAGTGTAGACTTCCTCGTATTTCTGTGACTCACTAACTCAGCCAGGCCCAGAACAGCATTTCAACACTCAGGTATTCAACTGAATAAGAACTCCAGTTCTGTGTGACCTTGGGCAAGTCCTTTCTCCTCTCTGGGTCTCAGCTTTTCCATCTGTGAAATGGGAGGGGTGGTGCTTCTGTGTGCCACCCGCACTGCAGTCAGCAAACTTTTTCTAGTAGATGTTTTAGGCGTATTAGGCATAGAGTCCCTTTCACGTGTCTTTTACAGCCCTTTATTTTTTTATTTTATTTTTTTATTTTTTTTTAGCCCTTTAAAATGTAAAAGCCATTCTTAACTCGTGTTGTGTAAAACAGGTAGCAAGACTCCTGCACTGGAGAAACCCTTGCAAATGTACACAAAGAGCCTGACCAAGATCTTGATGGCAGCAGTGATGTGAGGGCAAGAAATTGGAAATAGTCTACAGGTCCACCAAGAGGAGGCTGGAGCCCTAACCGGTTTGGCTCAGTGGCTAGAGCATCGGCCTGCGGACTGAAAGGTCCCAGGTTCGATTCCGGTCAAGGGCATGTACCTTAGTTGCAGGCACATCCCCAGTGAGAGGTGTGCAGGAGGCAGCTGATCGATGTTTCTAACTCTCTATCCTTCTCCCTTCCTCTTTGTAAAAAATAAATAAAATTTTTCTTTTTTTTAAAGAGGAGGATGGATAGGGAAACCATTGCACATCCCTTATCTGAAGAACTGGGCAGCAGCTAAAAGCATGAGGAGTGCAGGGAGGAACGGGGGGATAATGTGTGGATAAGGATACATATGTAATAACTTAATAAATTAAAAAATAATAAAGATACATTAAAAAAAAGAATGAGGCGTGCAAATGGCATGAAACTACCCCCAACATATCACTGAGTGGAAAAACAAACAAACTGCCAAATGCTACAGAGGATATGAAAACGATCAAGGAAACACCATATACATGGGTGTATGTGCAGAATCAAAAGTCTGGAAAAAGCCACTCCCAACTCATGGCAGTGGTTACCAACAGGATAGGGAATGAGACTGTGGAGTATTCGATGGTCATAGAATTCTCAAGCCTCATCCTGAAAATGCCAAGTTCGAGCCCTAGCCAGGCTCAGTTGGTTCGAGGGTTATCCCAATACACCAAGGTTTCGGGTTTGACCCCCCATCAGAGCCCATACAAGCATCAACCAATAAATGCATTAATAAGTGGAACAAAAAAAAAAAAATCAATGTTTCTCTCAAATCAATACTTTTTTTTTTTTAATAAAATACCAAGTTTGATCCTGTCTCTAGGCTTTCGCACTGGTCTGCCTTGGGACACTTCCCTGGGGTGTTGATATGGCCGGCTGCTTCTCTGCCAGATCTCCGCTCATTGTCCCCTCCTCAGACTGATCCGCCATCTAAAGCATCCAATCCGAGGGGCTGAGGGGTGGGGATGGAGAAAGACTTCTCATTTTATTTATTTATTTATTTATTTATTTATTTATTTATTTATTTAAAATATATTTTTATTGGTTTCAGAGAGGAAGGGAGAGGGAGAGAGAAAGATAGAAACATGATGGAAGAGGGAATCATTGATTGGCTGCCTCCTGCACTCCCCCCACTGGGGATCAAGCCCGCAACCCGGGCATGTGCCCTTTGCAGGAATTGAACCTGGGACCCTTTAGTCTGCGGGCTAACGCTCTATCTGCTGAGCCAAACCAGCTAGGGCAAGATTTCTCATACCTTTTTGTACCCTTTGAATTTGAACCAAGGGATCTATTACCATTAAAAAAAATAAACGAATGATAATTTTAAAAAACCAAAGTAGCCTTTCTTACCACATCCCCCTATTCTATTTTCCTTGAGACACTTGTCAGTGTCTGAGGTGACCTTGTTTATCGGTTCCCTTGTTTGCCCACACACACACACACACAAACACACACACACTAGGACAATGGTTCTCAACCTGTGGGTCGCGACCCCTTTGGCGGTCCAACGACCCTTTCACAGGGGTCGCCTAAGACCATCCTGCATATCAGATATTTACATTATGATTCATAACAGGAGCAACATTACAGTGATGAAGTAGCAACAAAAATCATTTTATGGTTGGGTCACAACATGAGGAACTGTATTTAAAGGGCCAGAAGGTTGAGAACCACTGCTCTAGGAGGTGGGCCCCTAGAATAGACAGGAATCTCAGTGAGGCCCCCTGGCTGATGGCTGTGAGCAGGTGCCCAATATATTTGCCAGATGACTGGGCAAACGGTGTTTGGGGGTGGGGGGAGGGTGTGTTTTCTATAAGAAAAATGTATCTTGAATTATGTAATTCTAATTTCATAATAACATCTCCCCTAGCTCCTCCATAACAGATGAGAAATGGAAAGGGGAGAGACGGTTATTGAACTGGGTGATCCTTCAGGATCCGTTCAGCTCTAAACATTTGGTTTTGGGGTGTGTTTTTTCCATCTAGATGGTGAGTGGAATTCCCCCTCTCATAAGACTTTTTTGTGAGAGGGAAGTAGGAGAAGGGGAAATAAACCTTTTGAGGTTCCTCCATCAGCCCTTCTTCCTTCCGCTGTTCTTTGTAGCTGAGGAAGGAGAGGTTTCTAAGTTCCCTTAGGGCCCCAAAGAACAACAGGGGGACCCCTAAGGACGACAGCTGTCAGGCCTGAAGTCCAAGGCCCAGCTTGAATGGGTGCCAGTGGCCTTCCCAGCCCCGTTCTGCACCTTCTGTAGCATAAAACATAAGAGATGGTGCATAGACACCCCTTCTAGTCTCTCAGTATCTACTCCCCTATATTCTAGAAACTACCACTCCTATTTCCCTTTGAGGGGACCAGCATCCCCCATCTCTCAATCCATCGGGTTTGGATGCACTGGACCCCCAACCCTAAGCTCTAGGGGTGGGCTTGTGACCACAGTCTGGCCAGTCAGAGACACAGTGACTGGCAGGCATGTGACCCAGGGCGGCCGATGAAAACCAGCTCTGGAGCCATTGCTGCAACTCCTGGGAAACCGGTGCCTTCTTTCCACGGAGGATGCTAAGCTCCTGGGGTGTGAGGCTGGAGCTGCAAGTCTCTGCTCCCTCGAGCTCAGACCCTGCCTGGGCACGAAGCCAACTCAGAGGAAATAAAACTAAGAGGCAGTTCCTGATGACATCATCTGACAACTGGACGCAGTCATGCCTTAAGTCCCCGAACTCTTCAATTACATGGCCCAGTAAATTCCCTGTTTTGCTTTCCCAGAATGAATTCGGTTTGTCACTCACAACTCAAAACAATTCTGACAAATACCTCCTCCTGCTGCTCAGAAACTAGCACCAGCCGCCCTCCTCTAAGTGGGAATAACCAAACTCTCTTTTCTGCTATGCGAAAGCCTCTGGCCGCGGCTTCCTCCTTCCCATTTCCACTCGGAGCCCCACCTCACCCACCCACCGCCTCTTTGGACATCTCCAGTTCTCTTAGGCTGCCTGGGCCCAATTCACAGCCTCTCTCCAAGACCCAGACCATCCTCAGGGATCTCTTGGCCCGGAGTGCACCCGGGCCTGGTCCACAACATTCCTTGAATGTTTCTGCCTTATTCCTGGATGGAGGGGGTGGTGCTTGGAATGATGGGGCTTTACAGAGCATTGCAGGGGCACATTTCTTGGCGGGGGAGCAGTCTCTTCTGCTCTGCTTCCCCGCCGTAATACCTAGCACAATGCTTCAAGCCAGGAGTGAGAATGTACTAATATACCAGGCAAGTCCCTTGTCCCCTCTGACCTCAATTTCCCTATCCCTAAAGGAGGCGTGTGGGGCGGGGGGAGGGGGCTGGGTTACATGCTTCCAAGAGAACCATTCAAGAACAGAGGGTCCTTACCACCCAGCGCTGCCCTGGGGCCTGGAAGAGCTGAGAATAAGCTTCAGCGATGACAGCGGCCCTGGAGAGCAGAGTGGGGGGGGGGGCCCTCAGGATGAGACCCTCCTCTGGCCACCCCCCCCATTCTACCCCCTCCCACCCGACTCACATGCAGTACAGCCCTCCCCCAGGAGGTAAATCCGGGATGTCCTCAGAGGCCAGGGTCCTGAACACCTTGTTCAGGCTGGGGGGCTCCTGGGCAGAGGAACACAGCGCTGAGAAGAAGGCAAGGATTATGGGAGTGCCCCTGCCACCACCCTTCCCGCTGGGCTTCTAGAGCTTGCCCACCTGCGACCCTGCGGCCCAGGGCTGCATCCAGCTCTAGCTCCTTCCTCCTCGCAAGGCCTGGGGGCCCCCCGGGGAAGCAGACCAGGATGCAGGTCCTGTTGTCCGGGCTGCCCTGAAGAAGGTGGAGAAGAGAGAGTATACAGCAGTGGGACATGATTGAATGCCCCAGCGCAGGGCCCCACGCTCTCGGAAGCAGAGCTCCCTAACAATCCCTGAGTTCTGGTGTGGGTCTCCCCATTTCTCTCAAGCCCCGCCCATCTGCCAGTCTAAACCAAGCCCTCTCACAGGGACAGATCCCTTAGGCCACACCCCTTGCTGGTCTAGCCCTGCCGGCGCTAAGAGAACCACGCCCCTTCCCCAAAGCTCCTCCCACTCTTGCTCCGCCTCCTGGTCCTAATCAGACCTCAAGACCTACTCCGCCCGGCCTGTGTGGCTCAGTGGTTGAACACTGATCTATGAACCAGGAGGTCATGGTTCAATTCCCCGTCAGGGCACATGCCCTGTTTTCGGGCTCGATCCCCAGTAGGGGGTGTGCAGGAGGCAGCCCATCAATGATTCTCTCTCATCATTGATGTTTCTCTCTCTCTCTCCCTCTCTTAAAAAAAAAAAAAAAAAAAGACCCGCCCAGAGCGGGTCCCAGAGCCCAGGGCCCAGAGCCCTGACTGGGTAGCTCATTTGGTTAGAGCATTGTGCTGATACACCAAGGTTGCGGGTTCGATTCCCAGTTAGGGCACATACAAGAGTCAACCAATGAATGTGTAAGTGGAATAATAAATTAATGTCTTTCTCTTTCCTTCTCTTTCTACAATCAATAAATAAAAATTAAATTAAAAAACAAGACCCACTCCTATAACCCAGGGCCCTCCCACCCAAAAGACCACGCCCTTTCTCTTAAAGCCCTCCCACCTATTTATTTAGCACTTCAAGTACCACTTTTCCATCTTGCTTCAAGGCAGCCCTCCGGCTCTGCCCTCTCCATATTTTGGCCCTGCCCCGTTCCAGCAGAAGCCTTTTAGTGGAACTCCACCCCCTGTTTAGTTTTACTCATGCCTCTCCATTAAAGCCCTTCCGCCCTAAAACCATTAGGCTCCTCGCCCCAAGCCCCACCCCAGGACCTTGCACAGGCACGTATCCAACAGCTGCGCGCAGAGAAGCGCACGGATACGCTCGCGTTCCCGGAGCCAGAGGGGTCGATGGCCCTCGGTGCTGAAGGCAACAGCTCCAGCGCGGCTCAGCACCGCGCGAGAGTCACCGCAGTGTGCCAGGTACAGAAAGCGCCGGGAGACGAGTAACACCACCGCGGTAGAGCCGCGTGGTTCGCCGCGGGGCCAGAGCGAGCTCAGGCGTGCGTCTGCGCTCCAGAAAGCCAGGCGAAGCGCCCCGCACACGCCCTCTGGCTCGCCAGGCGCAGGGTCCCACGCCAAGAGCATGTGCCGGGGCAGGTAGCGCGCGCCGAAGGGGGCTGCTCGCGCTCCGCCTGGGCCGTCGAGGACCGCAAAGAAAGCCCAGCCCTGGGGCAGCCCGGGGAACGCGAGCCAAGCGCAATGCGCGTCCTCCATGTGCGCGCGCCAACCTGCGCTGCGCTCGCTCCGAAGCGCAGGCCCCAAGAGGCTGCCTCACCCCCGTGCGGCCGCTGAGCGCATCGCGGGGCGTCCAGGAGGAACCGAGGCGAGGCCCGTTGGGAGCCCTGCGCCCCTCCTCCTCCTCTGCCCCCTCCTCCTTTTGCGCTGGCCAGAGCAGACGCTCCGCAGGCGGGCAAGGGCCACCACCCTTCAGTCTTGGGATCAGGAAGGCTTCACCCTCTGCACCTACCCCCCCCCCTCACTGCATTAATCCCCTCCACTGTGAGATTTTAAACCACCGAAATCTCCTTGATCTGCACTCAAGTCGAGCCACTCAAGAGATTGACTAATGAGTCTTCCTTTGTCTCGCACCTTCAAAGGGAGGTTTGGGATCAGGGTCAGGGAAAAATAATAGCAAAGTAGCATTCACATTCGCCATGTATTACACACTATTTTACATCATCATTTCCGGTTTACAGAAGAGGAAACTGAGTCGCAGAACCAGCTGGGACACGAACTATAGAATCCATGTTCTCAACACTACATTCTTGGCTTCAGTCCCCACCAGCCCTGCTCCGTCCAAGCTCAGTGGTCTCGCCCCCGTTTTTAAATCTTTAAATCCTTTATTTTTTTAGTTCGACCTCTCCACTTCTGGGTGTCGACCCCGGACTTCGGATGCTTCTTTTCCTGCTCCCGGCACTCATGCAATCCCACAGCCTCAAACTCTTAATAGTCTCCGTCCTGGTCCCACCCTTAGCCCCGCCTCTTCACTGCAGGCCAGCCCCGACGTTGCGCCAAAGCACGCCTCCTCTCTGCGGGTTACGCCCACCTCCTAGGCCACGCCCCCTGCCTGGCCTATTTCCTTTATATCACGCCTCTAGCTCCTCTGTCTCTGACTGACCCCGCCCAACTATCGGAATACGTAATTATAAATCGGCTTAAGCCCCACCCTTGTCTGAGCTCTTCTCCAGGTCTCAAAACTTTCTGGGTATTTTCTATCCCCCCCCTTTCCCACTCCCTCTGAAAATCCAGACTCAAATCCTGCTTCTCTTCAATGCCACCCCTAACTCCGCTCCTCGGAGATCCATGGCCCCACCGTTCTTTCCCGAGCCCCGCCCCCCACCCTAGGCTCCGCACCTCTTCCCCTACAGGCCGTGCCCCCTTCCATCCAGACTCCGCCCTTTTCTTTTACCGACTTGTCGGCCCCATACCCTATCCTCCTAGCTCTAGCCCCACTCCTCTAGTACAAAAGCCACGCCCTCCTCCCGGTGTTGCCCCGCCCCCAGCCCTCAGGCCCCGCCCCCAGCTCCGCGCTGCAGTGCCTTCCCCGCTGCGGCCCCGCCCGCCCCGCGGAGCCGAGCAAAGGGCGGCGGCGGTGGCGGCGGCTGCTGGAGCTGCCCGGGAGGAGGAGGCGGCAAGGATGGCGCCGGCGTCGTGGGCTCGGTGGAGATGAGTGCCCGCGGCCCCAGGCCCAGGGCGGCGTGGCCGGAGTGGGCGGGGGTCCCGATGCAGGCCCGAGGGGGGCCATGGGGCAGGTCCTGCCGGTCTTCGCCCACTGCAGTGAGTAGGGGCAGGCTCCGGCCTGGTGCGGGGCGCAGAGGCCCGGTGGGCTCCTCCCTGGTATCCTGTCCGCACCGGGCCGCGGGCGAGCAGGGATGGGGGAGGGGGCGAAGGAGACAAAGGATGCTCTCCCCTCCCCCCGCGATCTAGCGGCAACGGGGGCGACCTGACCCGGAGGACTTGAGTGACACAGGGCGGAGTTGGGGGGCACTGAGATAACTGGCGTGGGGGCGCGCTGGGCGCTGGGGTGTGTGGCCAGGCCTCACCCCGGGGATGAGGATGTTTGCCGGGAGCTGTCCCCATGCCTGGTGCTGGCCGCTGCGAGCGGGGAGGGTGGTTGAATGGAGGGGTAGAATCAGGATGGAAAAGAGAAGTCTGACACCACCACCCCCCCCCCCCCATCACGAACCTTCGCATCCCACCTCTGTTTTCTGCCCTGACTCCAGGCAGCCCCGACCTCGCCCAAACTGTCCAACCTCCTGTCCCTGGGAAGCAGCCATTCCTGGGTTGGGGCGAGGACTCCTGGGTCCTTCGCAGGCGTTACCACTGGTTAGTGGTAACCCTGGAAGAGACTCACTCTGCTCCGGCCCTCTGGTTCCTGGCATCCCATTCCCCAGCTAAGGATACAAGATGGGAGCGGAAGGAGTCTGAGTCCAATTTCCAAAGGGTTTTGAGCATCTCCTGTAGGCAAAGCCCCAAGCTCGGTAGCTGTGAGGGGCAGGGTTCTACAACTGAAAAAGCCTTGTCTGGCCCTCGCGATCTCTGCGCCCAGGGCTCTTGTAGTCCCTGTCTCGAATTCTGTCCCACACTCCCGTGGTTCTGACAGCTGGGGATTTCCACACCCTCAGATCTAGCCAATTGCATGTCTGAGAAGTCCAGATGCCAAAATTCTAAGAATTTGTTATTTCAACATTTTAGCGTATCATCCCCAAAATTCTAAGGTCTTTATTGGGCTTATAAAGGTGGCCCTACATGATCTCCCACCTTATTTATCATCCCTCATCTCCCCCCTTCTTCCCCTCAGTTATTTTGCTCCAATTGCACATTTGCACCTCTCTTTTCCTCAAATATGCCAAACAGTGCCTGCCTCAGGGCCTTTGCACTGAGCTTTGATAAGTGCAAAGCTTTGATAAGTGCTTTTCCATCTGCCTGGGAGATTCTTCCCTAAATACCTGCTTGGATGCTTCATTCAGACCTCTGCTCAAATGTCATCTTATCAGAGAAGTCTTCTCACCACCCTGTCTGAAGTTGCACCCTCTCACCGTCTCTTCCCTTATCAAGCTCTTTTCTCCACACACATAAAGTACCAACGTCATTTATTTACTTGTTTATTGTCTGTCTCCTCTACAAGCTTTTGAGGGCAGGGGTTTTGTCTGCATTGTTTGCAGTTGTATCCTTGGGGTTAAAACAGTGCCCAGCCCATAGTGGGCTTTCACCAAATGGTTGTTGAAAGAATGAGTGAATTGGTACCTCCTAAGACTCCTAATTTGAAGAGTCTGAAATTAGGGTTCCTGGACTTGAACTTCTAAGACTGAGCTTCTGATAGACATGAGTTAGACTTGCCCAGCCAGTGTGGCTCAGTGGTTGAGTGTCAACCTATGAACCTGGAGGTCACGGTTCCATTGCTGGTCAGGGCACGTGCCTGGACTGCGGGCTTGATCCTCAGTGTGGGGTGTGTAGGAGGCAGCCAATTAATGATTCTCTCTTACCATTAATGTTTCTATCTCTCTCTCCCTCTTCCTTCCTTTCTGAAATCAATAAAAATGTATTTTTTTTAAAAAAAAGAAATGAGTTGCCCTGACCGGTTTGGCTCAGTGGATAGAGCGTCAGCCTGTGGACTAAAGGGTCCCAGGTTCGATTCCGGTCAAGGGCATGTACCTTGGTTGCAGGCACATCCCCAGTAGGGGGCGTGCAAGAGGCAGCTGATCGATGTTGTTTCTCTCTCATTGATGTTTCTAACTCTCTATCTCTCGCCCTTCCTCTCTGTAAAAAAATCAATAAAATATATTTAAAAAATAAAAAAGAAATGAGTTAGGCTTTACAGTCTGTGTGCAAATGTTGTAAAGGCCCTGGGACTCAAATGTTCTAAGATTCCTTAGCTCGGACCATCCAGGTTCCCGGGACTGGCGCCCTTCAGTGGTCAGTCTAAACTTCTAAGAATCTTT